AATTATAGAAGAGTTCAACTTAAAAAAAAAAAAAAAAATCACACAAGAATCTTTGACCTGCCTTATCTGGCTGGACTTTTGTTCCTTTTCTATCTTGCAGCTTATATTCCTCATGCTCCAGTTCCTCCCACCCCCCAAAGCCCACAAGTGCAGACTGTTCTCAGGTGCTGCTGCTAATAACCTGCCCATATAGACATAAGATCAGCCGTTTGTCTGCTCTATCCCACCCTTCAAAGCACGCTATTGAAAACACTTCCTCAATTTTGCAGTCCAATTGTGCATGGGGTAAAAAGCACATGCCTTCTCTTCTCAACTCCCATCAAGTAGGTACTTAAATAGCAGCACTCAAGGCTGCACTATGTTTGTAGAGACTTGGAGAAAGGAAGGATGTGCAGAAGTTAAAAAAGGAACTCATGGGGGTAAATCCTTCCTTCCCATCAATTCTAGGCATCGTTTCTCAGCAATAGCAGGAGGTGCAGCTGTTTCACAATGTGAGGTTTCTAAATTGTTTGCTGAAGAAGAAAAAAAAACCACAGACAAAAAAACAAAACACAAAAGACAAACAAACAAACAAACACCCCAAGAAAGACTCAGTCAGGATATGGGCCTTTCCTTTACAAGAGTTTACCCAAAAGGTGCACAGTGCAGGATACTCTCAGCCAGGCTCAGAGAGCAGACTAGTCCATAGCATCAACAGGACAGCAACACCCAGAGGAGACAGGAATCCACGTTCATAGATCATCGCCAGTCAAGCACGGAACGAGAGTAGGTTGGATATACTCAAAACATCCACATGCACCCCCCCAGTTTATTCCCTTACGTGCCCATAAAGTGCCATCTCTTTGTACAGCATCCTTCCCTGCTTTGTCACCTCTCCGCTGGAAACAGGACCATGCCCATTTCAGGAATTTGCCTTCCCCTCTTAGAAACCAGAGGCTGAATGCCCAGAAACAAGAGCAGGGTGCCTTTTGATCATCCAGTCCTCCGCTTCCATAGAGGAGAAAGGCAGCTATTTATATAGTACCCCCAGGATGAAAGTGCTCTTCTTCCAAAGCAAAGGGGCACCGAGCTCTAGATAGAAAGTGATTGTTGCACGGCTTCAAAATCCCCGTCAGGTTGCATGTACCAGGAAGATACACCAGGGACGTTGCAGTTCCCTCCTCCCTCCATATCCTGGATCACAGGAGGCCAACCTGCAACTCCAGAGCCACATGCAGCCCTTCAGAAGTCAATATGCATCTCCTTGAATCTTTGCACAAGCACATGTGAAGCTGGTCCCCGTGTGCTTGTGCAAAGATTCAAGGAGATGCATATTAACTCCTGAAGGGCCGCAGGGAGGCCACCCCTGCCTTGGATTGACCTCTTCTATTCATCAGCATCCTCAAGCCAGGCAAGAAAAATATTAAGATTTAAATTTGTTAAAAAATGGGTTGAGTTAGCCAAGTGCCCCACTGGGAACACGCACGGTTTCTGAGACAGAGGGAAAAAACCAGCCTGCAGGACACCCATATTTTCATGGCAAAAGGAGGAGTGCTCAGCCTTCAGAAACATTTGCACCAACTTTTCTCGAGATCCTGCTGAAGTCTTGAGTAAGCAGGAAGGCACCCACCTAGTGCCTACCAGCAAGACTTAGTCTCAAAGATAAAAAGGTGCCATTGTTAATCCTAGAGTCTTTCCACACAGCAGATCCAGTTGGGCATGTCTCCAAATACACCTTGGCAAGAGCTTAGATTTAACCTGGAGCACAGCGAAGCTCAAGTCCACCTTGATTTGTTTGGTCGGCAACAAAACACACGCTGTCTTCCAAAGACAGCGGAGGGCTGACTAACCATCCTCAGCGGGCTTGTCAGGTTACAGACATGTCAGGGCAAAATTACTGGAGGCCAGCATCTGCTTCTGAGACACGTTTCCAACCCATCTCCTTTGAGGAGGTTTCTATTGTTGCTACCCTGGAGGTCCCTACATAGGATTCATAGATGTTGGGGTCGGAAGGGACCTCAGTAGGTCATCAAGTCCAACCCCCTGACCTGGGCAGGAAAGAGCACTGGGGTCAGACGACCCCAGCCAGGTGCTTGTCCAGTCTCCTCTTGAAGACCCCCAAGGCACCACGTCCCATGGGAGCCCGTTCCAGATTCACGTAACAGTTAGTGCTCAGATTCTTCCTCATGGCAGGGATCTTGGTTCTCAGGTCAGTGGTTCAGGATCTGATTTTGAGCCAGACTTACTCATGCTATCATTTTATTTGATGGAAGGATTACAGACTCTCTTTGCCTTTTTTTTTTTTTTTTTTAAATATGTAGTTAATTAAAAAACAAACTTGTTGTATTCCTGTTGAACCAGAGTCCCTTCCCCCTACTGTGCCTCTTGATATCCTCACTAGTTTCAAGTCTGATATTTTCATGGACATGCACACCTGAAGATCGAGTCCCAAATGCAAGACGCTTTCTTTCCTCTGGAGCAGAACTTCCGACTGCCTTTTCTAATGCAGCGGGCTGTGGCTCATGAAAGCTTATGCATTCAGTTAGTCTATAAGGTGCACCTCTACCTTACCTCTTCAGACATGGCAGGCAGAAGGTACTACTGGATTATGTCATTACATCTGTCCGCCTTCAAAGGAGTTACCCATGAGCTTTGTCTTCCATGCACTGGGTTCAAACACCAGTTTTTACACTCACACAGGTTAGTTCTTGCCTTTCCTAATTCACAGCCAGACTGTCTTATTTAGCTGGCCACTAAATAAAAAGGCAGGCGGGTGTTTGCAGTTGGTGCAGAAAAAGTTTGTGGGTAAGTGATCACAGTGACTCTTTTTAGCCAGCTGCCACATGCTCCACCAGATGACGTTAGGTGCAAAAATCACAGCGAGAGCCTTGTGGTCACGAGGCTATTGCGGGACAGATGAAAGGTAGAGGCTTGTCTAAACCACAGAGTTATGGGGAAGAGAAATAGGAGATACTTTCATCATGTCTTACATATAAACAATGACAGGGGTTGTTACTGGTGCCTTGAAGAGGGCTGGTGGATCTCAAAAGGGAGGGAATAATGGAAGACAGGTAGGCACTTCCAGGAGGCACTCATACAGCCTACTCATTCGGGAGTAGCAACATCAAGCCACATGCCCCACAAAGCCACCAAGCAAGAAGGGCAGTCTCCACAGCCAGGCTCCAGGGGCAAAACAGCTAATTATGGCCTAGAAACCACGTCCAACATGCTTGTTTGTGCATCACTAGGATGGCATGTAGATGTTGCAATGCAGCCTTCCCCAGCTGCCTCAGAATTAAGTGCATGTTTGAGGAGTCGGGCTCAAAAGCCTTTTGGAGGAACGATCATGTATCTAACAACTGACATGCCTTATTTTATTTCATGTTCATGATGCAATACTTCCCAAGTATCAGCTCAGAC